AGCAATCTTATAGGTATAAAATAGTGCCCCCTTCACTTCGTTTAATGTTTATCAAAATTGGTTTTATTTAACTCAATTGTAAATATTAACCATTTTTGTTTATTCAGTTAATATTTACTTAACATAGGTGTTAATTTGATTCTAAAAAAGCACATTTTATTCCCGAGTTAGAATAATTAGCTGAATATTGTCGGGCAAAAACTGCAACAAATCGGTTCAAAATTAAGAAAGAAAAGACACAAAATGGATTCAAAAACGGCATTCTATTTTTTAACAAACTTGTAAAGCCATAAAGGTGTTATATTCTAGAGTTCTAAAGAATAATCAGCTGAATATCGTCGGGAAAAAAAACGCAACAACTTGGTTCAAAATTACGATAGAAAAGAAACCAAAATGAATTTAAAAAGGGCATTCTATTTTGTACAAACTTTTAAAGCCAGGTCATTTTGTGTGTCATATAACATAAATATCAAATTAAACAAAATCAAATTAATTACACCAAAGTTTAATGATCTGCTGTCAAGCATTTTCTTCAAAATTTTAGCAGTGCTTAGGATCCATTTAATTTTGATGCGGATCCGGATCCAGATTCTGGATCCCTGGAAAAAAATGGATCCGAATCCAGGAAGCCAAAATGTGGCGGATCCATAGGATCCAGGTCACGAACATTAATTTAAGATTTACTGATTTTTTAACAGAAGAAGAATTTTTTCGAACAAATTTTCATACTTTTCCACTTATTTTTATGCAACAACTTGATAAACCATTCATAGATAAGAACATTTTTAATAATATTTTCAGTTTTGGTTGATATTTTGCCCCTGGATCCGCATATTTTTGCGGATCCGGATCCAGGAAGCCAAAATGTTGCGGATCCAATGGATTTTAGCAATAAAATTGATAAGACAATGCTGAATAACTTCACTGGTTTTAAGAAATGTTTAGTTGATTCGGATACACGGGGAAAAAGTAGATGTCGAGGCTGAGGCTCGGAGCAATCGGTTAATTACTGTAACTTGAAGAATCGATGAATAGAGTTGCAGGTATTTGAATTTTTTTCATTTTTTCAAATTTTTTTTTGCACTGGCAACGTTGGGTCCTTCAGCTAGTACAAAATAAACATTCTATCAGAAAACTTTTTTCTAGAAAACCATTTGTTCATTTAAAAAACTATTGTTTTTTCTAAATCTGTTGATAAATTGGTTTGTTCAGTCAAAAAACCCGATCGAATAGTTACAAATTTTGTTCATTTGTTTTAAAAAATGATCATTTTCTTATTTCTCTAAATTAACCAAGTTGTTCTCCATTGTTTCTTTTTTAAACGACACCATCGTACACAAATGAAATGGAATTATAATCATTTCCTATCAAAATTTATAATTTGCTATTGCGGGTTCCTATAAAAGTGACTTCGATTTTTTTCGATTTTTTTGCAACAGGAGAAAAAGAAGAAAATTTTCACAATTCAAAACCTTGAAGATATCTTCTGAAGTTCTGATTGTTGTTCAGATAAAGTTTTAAAGGGTACACTGGTGTGAACCAGACATGCCACTCTTTTAAAAGTTGGGTCACTTTTTATTACGTCTACAATCCCTTTAAGCACTGTCTCTTTCCCTGTCCCACTAAATATTATGTGGATGTGATCAAATATTAATTTTAGAAATATTGAGGTTTTTTTGATTTTTTCATAATTTATATTATGTGCATAGCTTAGACCATAGTTTAGTGTCAAACTAGTTGAAAGGGAGCAAGTTGAAATCACCTGAGAAGTTTCTCTAGTCTAATCTAGTTAAGCTACTTTTGCTGTTTGCTAGTTCTGATCTTTGGATCTTTATACACTATAAAATGTAGTTCTTTATATACTTCTAGCTGAAGTGCCCGGCGTTGCCAATGGAATTTTTTAAATCGAATTTGTAAAAAAAATATTTTTTAAGAAAAAAATGATTTTTTTAGCCTACATTACCTCCGGGGTACTTAAGGGTTACCTCGGAAAAATTCATTCCATTCAGTCCATCTGCTTTCAAAGCTTTAAGACGCCCAGGAGGAGAAAGATATCCTAAAAAAATAACCCCAACTCCCAACAAACATTTTTTGAGAGCCGTAAAAACAAATTTTGTGATAACTTAATCTATTTTCTTAGAATTTTAAATTTAAAAATTGATTTGCACTTGATACGGAATTTCATTCTCCAAGATTATAATTTTCCAACAATTGCATATATGGGAAAATGCCACTTTGAAAATTGCAAGATTTGGAGAATTGAACCTTTAAATCGAATGTGAGAAGGGGACTTACTTTGGAAATTGTACTTAATGTACTTTTGTGAAATTACCTTGATGGAACTCTAAACAGTTTTGAAGACGCCGTTTAAAAGTTACCGCTTAGAAAAGTGTAAATTTGGGAAATTTGGAAATCGTAAATATGGAAAATGATCATTTGTGAAGTTTTTACTAAGGAAATTGTACAAAGAGCTTTTTATTTTATGGTGTTTTAATTTTGGTAAACACATATTTGGGGAACTGTGTATTTTCTGTAGAATCTTCCGCGACATGAATATAAATTTCTAGTCAAAAAATCGCGCAACCTCTCACATAAAACATTTCTATTTGGTGGATTATCTTTCCATTCATACACTCGTTTCTCAAGTAGAATATTAATTATTTTCAAAATCTTTATAATAGAGTCACTAATTAGTTCACTAAAAAAGTTCTACGCAGGAAACATTTTTTTTGTTAAACCGATCAAGTTTATAAGATAGAAAAAGTACAATTTTTTTTTTAACTCAAACATTCCACAAAATTAATATTTTTTGTCTATTTGCTTAGATCAAAATGAATTGCAATAACACCAATAATTATTGATTTGTTCGTGTCTAACAAATATTTAAGTAAGATTTTTATACATAGAACGGAATTAAAGGAGTTGAGCCCTTGCCACAAACTCAGATTTTCTTATCCCTTTGTCTTTGCGACCCATTGTCGTAGACCTTAAATATTTCAAACAATGAATTCTGGTAGAAAAAATAATCTAAGTTTGAAACATCAAATGTTTACACCATCAAATTGCAAAGTTATAGGGATTATAAAGTTTGAGCGTGTGACAAAGACTCAATTCCTTTAGATAAATTGACAATATCTTTTTATCTATCTATTTATGTATCTATCATGTTTCAATTCTCTTTTTTGCTATCTATATTTGTGCAAACTTTGTAACTGTTACAGGGGCGTACGAGGGCTTTTGTTTAGGGGGGGCACAATTTGCGCGCGTAAGCGCGCCAAAAAAATTTTTTGGTCCCCCCCCTTGGCAACATTGGCCCCCCCCCTTAAAAACCCCTTTTTTGAAAAAATATTATGTTAAGCAAACTGTTGATATGCATATAAAAGGCCGGATTAAGATTTAGCGGTGAAGATATATTTATTTATATACAGATGTGTGAGATTATATTATTAATATATATAAATATATAATTAGCTGATATATAATACATTAGATAATATCAAATCCAAGATTTAATCTTGTTTATACAATAGTAGGCTCCTGCTAGAGTAGCAACTACGAATATATCGGAGAGAACAGATTTCTTCCTGATCACCCTGTTCCCTGGAGCTGTATCAGTGGTGTATCTCCTACCCTGAGATCTTGAATCCGTCCTGCAGGGTGTTCTCAAGCTCTGGGTTCTGTGAAGAGGTGTGTAGGGTTCATCTCTAGGAGAAAGACGGTTTAGATCATCTCCACATTGTCTCCAGGTTCTTTCAGAACCCCCTTGAACCCCCTTCTCCATTCTGCCCCCATCCCCCTCATCATAGCTCTGCCGGGCCCCTGAGTAAGACCATCTTCGACTAACAGGACCCCTGTTTGGCCCTGAACTGTTGAACCCCTCAGGGCTCCTTGGCTCCCCTCCAGGGGCGTTATGTATCCATTGAGAGTCTAATCTAAAAACAGATTTTTTCCTGTTCACCAGATCAGGAAGCTGGTTTGGTCTCCTGTAGGAAACAGGAATACAGTCAGGAAGTCCAACTTCCGGTTTTATATTGACTCCAGGATTACGTTCAAGTACTACAGGTTTGGACGATTCTAATTCCGGGATCTGGTGTGGGGTTTGGTTGAGATTGCGGAGAAGTTTGATCAATTCTTCGGCGGAGATATCTTGGTCCTGGTCTTCTTCTTGTCTCCGTCCTTCTGTTTTCATTTCTCTCTTCTCCCGACCTAAATCACGAGCATATCCAGGTTCTCTTGGCTGTCTACGATTCCTGAGATCTATCATATTATTCACCACTTCTCTTCTCTCCTGTCCATATCTCTCCTCCCTCCCCTCCTCCTCCTTTTTCTCTTCCAAGTCAGAGAGTAGGGTTCGGAGAAGTTTCCAAGTCTCGTACATGGTTAAATACAGGACTCTTGAACTCAGACTTAAATCCTCAAAATCAACCTGAAAAAGAAAACTGGGTTTTAATTTGTCTCATCATGAATTTAAAATTTCTGAAAAAAATATTTTTTTGCAAAAAAGTAAACTGTTATTTGTAAAATTAAATCACCTGTCTAGTGGGTATATTTGCGATTGAAGATCTTCGTACTCTCCTTCTCTGCTGTTTTGGGACGGGTATTGCCATTTTTTATTTAAACTTTTTTTCAAGTCCGATTTTAGTCAGCTTCTGTCAAATCCACAATTTTAAGTTCAGCACTTTTTGTCCTTCTCTACCGTTGTGTACTCTGCTACTGATTCCGTGTCCGGGGATTTCCCGCTTTCTCCGCAGTTTCTCGAGCACTGAAGAACCGTGGTTTGCGGGGCAGCAGGCGGTTGGAGGAAGTGCTCTTCTCGGAGTGGAATACGGGGGGGGGGGTACCGATAATAGAACAGCGCTTGAACAAGTTAGCACGGATATACACTGCTACTACACATCACAACAGATACTTGATATACTTCTAGATAGATAGATAGGTAGATATAAATAAATAAATAGATTGAAAGATAGATAATCATATTAAATATACTGTTTTGTTTTCAACAAGATAAATTAAAATATTAAACAATTTCAAGCTTTTTCTTACAATAGGAAGATAAAATGTTTGAAAAAATTTGTTGAAAACATTTCATTCAAGAATTCTATAAATAGAGTTGCTTTTGTATCATTTCCCCTGTACTAATGCACCAAGGTCCAGTATGGCAACATTAACTACTTTATATCAATGGATGTATTACTATTTACTATGCGAACAAACTGACAAGTATGTATCCCCCT